CTTACGGGTTTTCAGAGTGCACAGACAGCAAGGAGTGAAATGGCAGGAAGAGGTCAGTGTGTAAGTTTTAGGAATTCCCTTGTCAGATCCCTGACAGATAAATCATCATCCAGAAAAAAAAAGGGTCAACCCCCTGGAGAGTCCAAAACGGAGTGGCTGAGAATTGGCCACACAGAAAGGGGAAAATGTTGTTGTGATGCGTTAACACCATTGCTCCAAAGTGAAAATAATTTTTTTATAAAAAGTCAGTGGAGAAGCTGCCTTTGCCGTTGCATTCATTCATTTCTTCGGTCCATCGGTGTTAGTTGAGATGGGCCGTGTGGCAGGCACTGTGTTAGGCAGCAGAGACCCAAAAGGAAACCCAGTGTGGATCCTGCTGTAAAGGGGCTCCCAGACCAGGGAGGGGGACCCTGAGCCCCTCAGGTGAGAGAAGGAAAGGCACGCCAGGAAGGCGTGGGATCTCGGAGCTCTGTCGTGGGTCTGTGGTCCTGGAACGTTCACTCGCATCTACATATTCCCTTGAAGCGGCCACAGATAAGGCCTCTAAGATGGAGGTCCAGGTGGGGTGAACCAGAAGACCAAGAGCCCTAGCTCTCCTGGGCTTCTCACGTAACCTCTCTGAGCTTCCACCCTCCCAGCCGTGAAACGAAGCAGGAATTAACACCTCCCTTCTTCAGGGGGAAGTGCCAGATTCAAGTACGAGGATGTCTGTGGGTGACGTAAGGTGTCGCTCGCTCTGTCATCTAAATAGTTCAGTTATTTAGTAACACCTGCCACGTGCCATTACAACTGTTGTTGCGAATTCTCCGTGAGACGTTAGTGCACAGATACAAATAGCCATTTGTTAGCTTAGAGTCTATAAAAAGCAAAAACAAACAAACAAAAAAAACCCTTACCGTTTCTAGAAACTCCAATTTACCTGTATAAGGACCTTCTATTCCTTTTTTCTCAAATACATTTGTCACCCTGGGTTTCTTTAACCTCGTGATATAGATAAAATGTATTTAACTCCGCCCCTCCTCCCAGAACCCCAGTTCCGCTCCCTTTTTAAGTCTCAAGCCTGCCACCGAGACTTCAGCGAATCACAGGGCACTTGTATTCTTAGTCACCTTGACGTGGGACTTTTCCTTCTGCACCTACTGCCTCTCTCTACACCTGTGTTATCTAGTGCAGTAGCCACCGGCCGCATGTGGTTGTTTCGCTTAAACAAAATTAAAACCTAAGTTCTTTAGTCACACTAGCCGTATATCGTATGACTATAGGGGCTACCATACTGGACAGTGCAGACAGAATATTTCCATCATCAGAGAATGTTCTATTGGACAGCCCTGTGCTGAACCATCCCGAGGCAAGGGTAAAACTCAGGGGCCTCTTTACTTTGCGCATGTCACCCTAGCGAAAGCATTCACGATCCTCGTAGACTGAAGTTTGTAGGAGGGGTTTACATCTCAAACAGTGTCCCGTGAAGCACACATGCCCATCTCAATATGTCCTCCCGCCTCCCTACCTCACAGGGGGCTCACTGGTCCTCCACGCGCCAGTTCCCCACAATTAGACCCAGCCCTCCCTACTCTGCCACCTCCTCTTCCCCCTCCCTCTGACCCTCCTCCCTCCTCTCTCCCCTCCTTTCTGGGACAGCCCCCACCAAATTTCCTCTCTCTTCCAATCCTCGGTTTCTGCTGACATCTTTGCCCACAGGTCCCATTTACCCCACATGACTATTTGAAATATTTTCCCAAATAAAAAGTTTTCTCCCTAAGAAGAATTACAGTGCCCGTTGCTTCCAAAACAGTCATTCAAACAACAAGCATTTGAACTTCATCTCATGTTCCGTACAAAAGCTAGGAAATACTCTAATGGTATAAAAAGCACCTGTGCGAAAGCTCTGCAGCTGCCTTGACATCAGTTTCAAATGGGAATCGGGAACTGGGGCCGTCCTGGTAGGTGCAGGACACAGGTGGCTGCTGAGGGCACGCTCCACACTGAGCTCATTGGACTGAAATCCCAGATAGAGTCGCACCCCTTGAGGGCCCCCAGCACGCTGCAGCTGCCGCCTCTTTACCTCGGGGTGTAACTGCAGACAGTCTTCCTTTGAGCAGATCTGCCCGACCTTATGATCCATCTATGAACTTTTAACTCAGGACAGGCGAGGTTCAGTATTTCAACTTCAGAGGCAATGTGATTGGTAGTAGTCTCCCCACCCAGTGTGCAGGTGAGCTGGGATGAACCAGACGCCAGCACCGGAGCTCTCCCCCCGCACCCCCGACCATGTCGCCTGGCTGCAAGTGGATGGCAGCAATCGCTTTGCTGCAAGTAAGACCCGAAACGGAGAGTCTCTTTCCAACGCCGTGGCCAGGCTCTGTAAGAAATGGCTTCCAGTAATGTCATACTGACTGCAGGTCCCGGAATTAATTTAGGATTTGCAGAGAATGCTGATGCTTCTAGCCGAACTGGGCTTTGCCTGCTTTTCCTGTTGCCTAGAGTAATGCAAGGTCACCCAACCTGGAGTCACTTAACTTTCTGAGCTCCCATCTTTAGACGGAGATCACCCCTCACCAAGTGACTCTAGGGATAAAATGGGACAAAGCTTATGAGAGCAGTTTTTAAAATCGTGAAGCTCTACCAAGGGAAGAAATCATCGTTGCCTAAAACCGGCCCCACTTCATCCTCTCTTTGTCTCCTCAGCATGTTTTATTTTTCTTTAGAGCACTTATCACGGTCTGAAGTCATAGAGATATATACATATATATAGGATGTAACTAATATATATTATATAATTATCTAGCGTATATATTTAATATATTATCATCATAGTATATATTGTTATCTATTATATTGTATACATTATAATGTATATATACATTGTATTGTACACATTATATTGTATACATTATAATTATACAGAATTATATAACTATTACATATAACTTATACATATGATATAGCTACATACGTTAGTTGCTTGTGTTTTACCTGACTCCTCCTCTAGAATGGAAGCTCCACAAGGACTTTTTTGTTCATTAGGAATCGCCACCTCTCAGAATAGTGCCTGGCACATGATAGGTGCTCAGCTATATGTTAAAGGTTGAATGACTTCTATTAGTCGTATTTGCCAGGGACCATATTAATCATTTGACTTATATGAATTTGTTTAACCTGTATGGTAACCATATGAGATTGGCATTGTACCCATTTTCCATTAGCCCATTTGCTGCATGGGGTGAACTTGTTAAGGTACCAGGAGAAACTGGCTGTATTTTTACTTATTCTGAAGAGCCCACCTTCAGAGTCCTCTGTCCAACCTTCCTGCTATGCCCTCCGATGACATGGGGAGACCCCCCCAGTGTCTGACCATCCTCAACCATCACATCGGTCTGGGCTGGATAATGAAAATTCAGTGAAAAAGTCTAGTTTGGTCCAATTTAAAACTTCGTTCTCACATTGAAGTCAGAGCCTCTCCCTCCCTGTGGCTCAGAATTTGCTCTGTGAAGAAGCAGTGGGGTCGGCTTTCCTGCTCGGCCTTCCTGCTCCTGGCTCCCCCAAGGTCAGGGGAGGAGGGCGGCTTAGAGGAAAGACATCAAGAGTCATTTCGACCAGCTGGTGCTCTTTGAGTTTTCCTCCCAGCTATCAGTGCCCTCTGCTAGCATTGCCGTCCCTGTGCTGGGGGCGGGGGTCCTGCCATGGGTTTTGAAGGAGCCCCTGGGGAGCTCTGCAGCCGACCTCCTACCTCCCACTCACAGGCTGCTCTTGCTCCTCCACTGAAGATTCACCCAGTAGCTCTGTTCCTGTGTTGGGTGATTTCGACCAGCACATCTAATGTTGCACCTTGGTTTTTAGACACGCCCAGATGAGCCCCGACCAGTGTAACTGGTGTAGAAACAAGCCGAACTCGGTGACGTACAGACAGAAAATGGCTTTGTTTTGTTCTCGTCACTCCTTCGACCATGCGATGGCCAAATTCCCTTCCCTGGCCCCTGATTGTTTCATGGGTTTTATAAGGTTTCATAGCCTCTTGGTTATCGATTACAAGAACAAGCCTCTGTTCAATAATTCAGACTCTCTTCCAGACATTACAAGTCTAGTCCAGGGCTCCTGCAGTCTCATATCTGCCTGAAAACTCCCCTACCTGCAGCCCGGGTCTGACCAGGTGTGGCCTGAGGACCTGCACTGGGGATAGGGACAGCGTGGTCTGGCCTTCTGCTTGTCCCTAACCTTTCCCTCCTGCCGCTGGTCC